CGCTACTGGCTTTGGAGGGCCGCCAGCGTGCTGGCTAGTCGCTGAGCACTTTGAGCGCTTCTTAATAGGCCAAGGTGAGTATCCATTTGTGCGACGCTACGAGTCTTCATTCTGATCCAAGCCAGATCCCAGAGACACAAATCACATGTTCGAGCAAATGTACCGCGCGTCCATGTTCTACGGTCGCAAGGGTCTTCCTGTCGCTGTCATCTCGGTCATCGATCTTGCTATTTGGGATCTGCTCGGCCACATTCGCAACGAGCCCGTATACAAGATGCTTGGTGGAGCAACCCGGGAAAGGCTCAACTTCTACTGCACTGGTCCCGAGCCAGCGGCAGCAAAGGAGATGGGCTTTTTCGGCGCTAAAGTTCCACTCCCGTACGGCCCTGGTGAGGGTGTCGAAGGCTTGAAGAAGAATGTCGAATTCCTCACCAAGCATCGCGAAAGCGTGGGGCCAGACTTTCCCCTCATGGTCGACTGCTACATGAGCTTGAACGTACCCTACACCATCGAAGTGGTCAAGGCCACCGAGCACCTCAACTTGAACTGGTGGGAAGAGTGCTTGTCGCCTGACGACTCAGATGGCTTTGAGCAGATCAAGCGCGCTCACCCCCGCATGAAGTTCACCACTGGCGAACACGAGTACTCACGATATGGCTTCAGGAAGCTCATCGAGGGCCGCAACCTGGACATTCTCCAACCCGATGTTATGTGGGTTGGCGGTATGACTGAGCTCATTAAGATCTCAGCCATGGCTGCTGCCTACGATATTCCCGTTGTTCCTCACGCCAGTGGACCATACTCGTACCATTTCGTCGTTTCTCAGGCCAACTCGCCTTTCCAGGAGTACCTCGCGAACTCACCGGATGGCAAGTCTGTGTTGCCTGTGTTCGGCAACCTGTAAGTTTCCCTTCCGCGTGCGCAAAGTGTTATGCTAATACTGTGCAGCTTCACCAACGAGCCAATTCCCACCAAGGGATATCTCGACGTCAAGACTCTCGACCTTCCCGGCTTTGGTCTCAAGCTGAACCCCAACGCCGGCTTGATCGACGCCACTCGCATACTGAACCCAGCGCCGCAGAAATCGCTCAAGCCTGCTGAGCCTGAGAAGGCGGAGGTCAACGGACATTAGTAAGATGGTTACACGACGTCATGGCGTTGCGGGAGTTGCATATGGCTTGCTTTTTGGATGGCCTGGTGTTAAGCATTGCGCTGAAGCGGCATATATTTTGCTCGTTGTTTGCTCAACTAGAGGCTTCTGGTTGGAATTACGTAGTTACGGATGGCAATAAGCGATTGACCGTACTGCTAGCTTTGCGATGTAGTCGCAGCTCATGAAATACGAAGGGTACACAACAGGTCTAAAATTAGTGACGCGGGCGCTGACGATCTCGGGAGGCTCGATCGCACCCATGTGCAGCAGGGACGCACGCCGAGTGGGGCAACACGAGGCGTCAGTGCTATGCTGCAGTCGAATCTTCATAAGGACGCGGTGAGCCAGCAAAACTGTACCTTTCCACGAATCCAGTGTATATATCAAGCATACACTTTCGAGATCAATTGCAACCTCTTTCTGCATTGCACGAGTTACCCCGCCAATACCCCGCATCACCATGGACGCCATTAAGGATACCGTCAACAGCGCGCTCGAGAAGCTCAACATCACTGGGGGCGCACCCCAGGGCACACCGGCCAAGGAGCCAACAGAGGAACAGCTGAATGAGCTCAAGGCCAAGTACCAGAAGGCTGGCCAAGAGCAGGTTTTTGTAAGTGCAGCCCGGGCGTTGGTGTTGCAAGTCTGGGAGCACCTCGCTGGACTGTGTGAGCACTGCATGGCTTGCTCAACCCCGCGACGTGCCCCAGGACTTGTTCTCATCACATGCATGTTTACTGACAGACACAATTAGGCCTTCTACGACAAGCTTTCCACAGCCGAGAAGGCGACCCTCTTCGAGCAGCTGAGCAACTTCAGCCCCGACTACATCAACGAGATCACCGAGCGAGCCCTCCACCCCGCCGAGACCGAAGCCAGCGAGAACAAGCTCGAGCCCCTCCCCGAGAATGCCACATCCTCCGTCCTGTCGTCCTCCCAGGAGGACCTCGACAAATGGTACGACAGCGGACTGGACCTGATCGCCGAGAACAAGGTCGCGGTTGTGCTCATGGCTGGTGGCCAGGGCACCCGTCTGGGCAGCTCAGCGCCCAAGGGATGCTTCGACATTGGCCTTCCTAGCAAGAAGAGCCTGTTCCAGCTACAGGGTGAGAGGATCAGGAAGGCCGAGATGTTGGCCGCCAAGAAGCACAACAAGGAGAGCGTAACCATCCCGTGGTACGTCATGACCAGCGGGCCTACTCGCGGCCCTACCGCCGACTTCTTCGAGAAGCACAACTACTTTGGCCTGAAGAAGGAGAACGTCGTCATCTTCGAGCAGGGTGTCTTGCCATGCATCTCGAACGAGGGCAAGATCCTGCTGGAGAGCAAGTCAAAGGTACGTCCGCTCTCATTCAGGGTGCTGTTAGACCAGGACAACATACTAAGAATGACTAGGTCGCTGTCGCACCCGATGGCAACGGCGGTCTCTACCAAGCTCTCATCCAGTCCGGCGTTGTGCAAGACATGGGCAAGCGCGGCATCCAGCACATTCACGCCTACTGCGTAGACAACTGCCTCGTCAAGGTCGCCGATCCCGTCTTCATCGGTTTCTCCGCCTCAAAGAACGTTGACATCGCTACCAAGGTCGTCCGCAAGCGCAACGCCAAGGAGTCCGTTGGCCTCATCCTGCAGAAGAACGGCAAGCCAGATGTTGTCGAATACTCGGAAATCTCTACCGAGGACGCAGAGGCCAAGGACTCAAAGGACTCCAGCCTGCTCAAGTTTCGTGCTGCCAACATTGTCAACCACTACTACTCATACAAGTTCCTCGAGAGCATCCCAGAGTGGGCAAAGAAGCTGCCTCACCACGTCGCCCGCAAGAAGATTCCTTTCGTCAACACCGAGACCGGAGAGACAGTCAAGCCAGAGAAGCCAAACGGCATCAAGCTGGAGCAGTTTGTCTTTGACTGCTTCCCCTTCCTGACTCTGGAGAAGTTTGCCTGCATGGAAGTGAAGCGTGAGGACGAGTTCTCGCCCTTGAAGAACGCTCGCGGAACTGGTGAAGACGACCCAGATACCAGCAAGGCGGACATCATGACCCAGGGCAGGAAATGGGTGCAAGCCGCCGGTGCGACTGTCGTTAGTGAGGACTCCGACTCCTACGTCGAAGTTTCACCATTGATCTCCTACGTAAGTTCTCGAGGCTGTTTGAGAGATGAGACTATATGCTAATCCAAAACAGGGTGGCGAAGGTCTTGACTTCCTCAAGAGCAGGACAATCAAGGCGCCTGCGGTCATCGAGTCTGAAGACTAGAAGACCTACAAATCTCGATACAACGTAGGTCTCCCGAGCCCTTCTTTTCGGAACGACACAGTAGAGTAAGGAATATGGCCAGCCACTCTTACAACAGAAACTCTACAGCTGTTGGCATTGAATAATACATAGACACGAATACTTATGAATATATCGGCCACTTGCCTCTTCGGCGCCTCTGACATATCTGGACCTCCCAAAGGGTGATTACTAACTGACTTGTGGAGAAGCTAACTCTGTGTCCTAGCTCCAGACATGCGACTGCAGCAATGGTGTCATGAAGCGGGGCAGAGACATAGTTCTCGAGCTGGCGGCAGCAGCGGAGGAACTGGAAAAGATAGGTCAGGGGCCGACGGCATGAGGAAAGCGCCTTTGCTGCACGAGGATAGGAGACAGAAGTCGTCTAGGGTGAAGAGGGTAAGGTTGCGGTGGTTTGAAACGTCGCATGATGCAATTGGGGGCCGTTTGGGACGCACTTTCGACCTCGGGAAGAACCAGATTGCGCATTTCGCTAGCGCACGGAGCAGGGACCACCGTCATGGGAGATGCATTTTGCCCGTTGCCCGAACATTCGACGATCCCCTCATTCTCTCACCACATACACCACTGGCCGGAGGTTGAAGAAGTGTCGCAGCGGGAAGAAGGTCTGGAAAGTTGAAAGAAAGTAGGTTGCGCCTGCCGAGGATTCCTCCGTCTCGAGGGTGCGCGCGAGGTTCCGCCCTGGCGCGTGCTCCGTCCGCAGTCTTTACCCCTCGACAACAGCCCCTCGAAAAATCTGCGACTGACTGGCGAACGCAGGTGAAGAAATTGAAGAAGTAAACGAAGCAGGTACGTGCGCCTATCACTCCTGCTGTTCGGCGCGTATTCCTCGAGCAAACCAGAGGATCAAAGCACACGTCGCAGCAAACACACCACACAACCGCCCCTCATTCGCGATCTACTCCTCCTCGCTGCTCACACAACCACCGATTTTATACTTATACGCTGCCCAGATATACGCAGAGAAACATCATCATGTCTTCTCTATCTCGTCGTGCGTGCTTCAAGTGCGGAAACGTTGGCCACTACGCTGGTAAGCGATATCCGCGCATCTGCTCGGCGCGCGCGCTGCAGTCGCATAGTCGGGACATGTATCGCGAACATCGTCTCTGGCTGCGGTGTCTGCATCGCGTGACCTCGAGCGATGAGGCAACTTCCACAAGATAATGCGACTAACAATAATGCGCAGAGGTCTGCTCTTCGTCTGAGAGGCTTTGCTACAACTGTAAGACTACACCCAAACACCAAGTACGACTATAGACTAATCTTTCCACAGGCAAGCAGCCAGGCCACGAGTCCAACGGATGCCCGCACCCGCGCACCACCGAGAGTACGTCACTCCGAGTCCTGGCGCACGTCGAGAGCACAGGCGGCTATACATCCAGAGAATGAAGGACTGACGAAGGAACAGCCAAGCAGTGCTACCACTGCCAGGGTCTCGGACACGTCCAGGCTGACTGCCCGACTCTGCGCCTGAGCGGAGCCGGCACCAGCGGACGTTGCTACAGCTGCGGTATCGCCGGCCACCTTGCCCGCAACTGCCCCAACCCTGGAATGGGTCGCGGCGCCGGTGCTCCCCGTGGAGGGTACGGAGGAGGATTCCGTGGCGGCTTCGCTGGCGGCGCTCGCCCGGCCACCTGCTACAAGTGCGGTGGACCCAACCACTTTGCCCGTGATTGCCAGGCCCAAGCCATGAAGTGCTACGCCTGCGGCAAGCTTGGTGAGTAAACTGAGCGCGTTCCTATTTACAATTTCTGACCAAACCAGGCCACATCTCCCGCGATTGCACTGCTCCCAACGGCGGCCCATTGAACACTGCCGGCAAGACCTGCTACCGCTGCGGCGAGACCGGTCATATCTCCCGCGACTGCACACAGGCTGAGGTCAACGGTGATGCCACCGTTGCCCCTGTCGCTGCTGCTCCCGTCCCGGCCGCTGCCCCCACCGCTACTGTCGCTTAGACGACTGTGAGCTTTGCCAGAGGTCCACCATTGAGTAATATCGCGGCGACCACTGGCTTATCTGGCATGCATTTCCATGCCTTCCTTTAGTTTGTCATTCCATCACAATCGTTTTCTTGGCCAATCTCAGCATCATATCGGCATATCTCACGCATTCACGAGTCATCAACGGATACGGCAAAAGTTCTTCACGATTCTTACACTGATACCCCACGAACATTGTATCCCTTACTTCAACCATTCTACCATTATTTCGACAGACGACGGCTTGGCGATTTGGACGGCGGCCTGTCTGCATGCAAGTGATTTGGATCGACTGCGGCTTCGGCAGAAGCGTTGTTGATACGAATTTGCTTGGATAGATCAGGTTCGCTTATGGAGCTGGAGGCGGCTGTGGTGGTTTGGTGTGGAAAGAGTGCCCCCAGGGGTTGAGGGGGAAGAGTGAAGGAGACTGTGTGTGTTTGTCGGGAGCTGAGTCGGTATATCTGTCTGTTATCATGTTTACACTTCTTTGTGCTTGCATATGATAGATCTAGATTGTATCATCTATTTCGAATATATGCATTCTCATGAACGTTTACTTTCCAAGTTTTGACTTCGTTACTGACACCGGTCACGGCCGTAAGCATCTAAGCTGCCCAAATTTGAGAGTTCTCGCAATGTCTGTTTATGGACATACTAGACAGGGGCATACATTCTGTCTCTGTATTCGGACTCTGCTTACAATTGAGCCGATACACGTTCAGCTTGATCTCAGGGTTGAAGGCTATCGTGTTGGTGGTGGCTGCCCCTTCCTTCCTCTCAGTCACACGTGGAGTTGAGCCTAGCGCTCCTTCCCATCATGCCTTCCTCCAGGATCTCACCTCCGCAGAACTTTCTCTCGTCTCTCCTCGCATTCTTCGCACCGTCACTCGCAAACGCGTCATTCGCAATTCGTTCGTATCGTTCCTTTTCATCTCATTTCGCGTCAGTTATCACCAGCAGTCACTATGGGTGCTTCTTCAGTGGCCAGCGACGACTCGAACAACGATGTGAGTGACTGCCTCTTTCCACAGTAAGAGTGATCTTGACTAACCACACAAAGGACGGCTTCATCGTCGATATCGATGCGATTCAGGCGCACGGCATCGGTGCTGTCGACATCTCGAAGCTCAAGTCAAACGGCTACTATACGATCGCATCGGTGCATTCGGCTACTCGGCGCAACCTCCTCAAGATCAAGGGCTTCAGTGAGATCAAGGTTGACAAAGTCAAGGACGCAATCGCCAAATGCCAGGTGCGCCACTGCAGTAGGCCAGCACTTGAGTGCGCATCACTGACATCCATTGCAGCCTTCTGGTGGAGGCTTCCAGACCGCTCATGAGCTCGGACATCTACGCAAGCGTGTGATCAAGATCTCTACTGGTAGCAAGGCACTCGATGCAGTCCTCGGAGGGTGAGTGCACCCCCGGCTGTCTGTCTGCGGGTCGACGCTAACGGTAGACAACAGTGGCTTTCAGACCATGAGCATCAGCGAGGTCTTCGGAGAGTTCCGCTGCGGAAAGACTCAACTATCACATACCATGTCCGTCATTGCGCAGCTGCCGAAGGATATGGGTGGCGCAGAAGGCAAAGTGGCATACATCGGTACGTTGGATGTCGCTCTCTCTGAACGCTGCTAACCACTGTACAGACACTGAGGGAACTTTCCGGCCTGAGAGGATAGCCCAGATCGCAGAACGTTTCGGAGTAGACCCTGAGACTGGTGAGTACCCTTCTTATACTCTTTCTGGTGCGTTTATACTGACCATCCATAGCCCAAGACAATATCACCTATGCCCGCGCTGTCAACTCAGAGCATCAGATGGAGCTTCTCAACAAAGTCGCCGAGTTCTTCGTCAGCAATGAGTACCGACTCCTCATCATCGACAGCATCATGGCCCTGTTTCGTGTCGATTATACAGGTCGTGGTGAACTCAACGAGCGCCAACAGAAGCTCAACCAGTTCCTCTCCAAGTTGACGCATGTCGCTGAAGGTGCGCGAAAGATTACTCCCAATCTTTATTCTGTGCTAACATCACTCAGAGTTCAATGTCGCCGTGCTATTGACAAACCAGGTTCAGAGCGACCCTGGTGCGAGCGCTCTCTTCGCTGGGGCAGACGGTCGCAAGCCGATCGGTGGCCACATCCTTGCTCACGCGTCGGCTACGAGGATTCTGCTCCGTAAGGGTCGCGGTGAGGAGCGTGTTGCCAAGATCCAAGACTCTCCTGGTATGTCATCCTTCGTTGCTACTACTCTTGCTACTACTCTTGCTACCTCTACTAACGGATTGCGTTAGATATGCCGGAGAAGGAGGCGACGTACATCATTACCAACGGCGGTATCAACGATCCGGAGAAGGTGTGACAGATATGTAGTATCTCGCTTCGGTGCATATATGAGGGAAGATTTACGAATAGGTGGTGGTTTAAGAGACGGAGTAATGTACTTCTTTGATTCTCGGTCATGAGAAGGCTTTATGTGGATACATTCCTTAGTAGTCGCATTGCAGTAGTCTACGAACAGCAAGCCTACAGCTTTATAGTAAGATTGTACATGTCTAGACCCACTGCAACTGCGGTGACCGCAGCAATGTATGCGACGAGTATTGCCATGGACTGCACGACACTCATGTGCAAGGTCGGGAACGTCATGTTAACCAGACCTGTGAGCAGATTCGCCACAAGGAAGACTGCGAGACCATTGCGGTTGAAGGCATATAGTACAGTGCTAGTCGCTTCCCGGCTCCTCCGCGATTCCTCGCTTTTGGTCGTAGCTTTGTACAAGTTCGGAAAGAGGAAACTTTCGATAGCGTAACAAATGGTGATTTGGTAGCTGTTGAACGACGAGACCCAGAGGAAGTAGGGCAGATTGGCTAGGCGGCGCGATACAGGGAGTCGAAGACCGTAGTAGCTGGTTGAGAAGTAGAACAACACGGTCCAAAGCATGGAGGTCATGATCAGCTTCCCGAATGTGGTTTGCCGAAGCTTCGTCTGGAATGACGCATCCTTTGGGATCTGCTGTTGCCTAGGTAGTGCGGAGGCACCCAGAGATTGGCCTGCAAGGAAGATGGCGAGGTAGCCGAAGAAAGAGAATATGCCTTCTCGGTTCTGAGAGAAGAGGTCGGTACGGGGCGCTATTAGGATGAAGGATCCGAGGGAAGTCCAGTCTAAAGCTATCTCGTAGATGGCAGCCAGAGTAAACGAGAGGACGGCATAGGATGGTACCAAGTCAAAGGCCGTCTGGAAAAGAGCGGCGAATGGGGGAAGGAAGCCCAGAGTGAAGAAGAAGTTCCAGTGTACCCCATACTCCGTGACATGCTCGGCATAGTCCAGTCCTTTTACAGAGATGAGCCGTATGATGCCTAGAACAAGAAGGGGAATCGCATGTCTGACCGATGCTGTCAAGCGCTTTGACAGTGGCTGAAGACCAGCTCCTTCCTTGAGAGACGCCCGGACAGACACCACGCCAGCTGTAAAGACGAAAGATCCCACACCCATATCCATGAGCGATGTACCCCAATTCTCTACTTTCGCGAAGCGCCTCGGAAAGACACGGAAGTCGACTGCCAGAATAGCAACACACGTTATAACCATCATCGCGCCACGGTAATTCGTTATAAACGGCTTGACGGGCAGCGCATCGAGCTTCGTGTCCTTTTCCGACTTATCGATCTTCGGTGGCCTTGGAGCGTCCTTCACCGCGACCGGATTCTCGAAGACGTATAACGTGATTGCCGGGAGCAGCAGAAGGAGATTCAGGACCCATGGCGAAGAGGAGTATATGGTAGTCGCGAACAACGTGGCACCGCAGTTGAGCAGGAAGTCGACGAGGAAGGCAGGCGGCGTGTACGGCGTGAAGAGACGCATGCGCGACTGAATGACAGACCAAAGTAGAATGCTCAGCTGTGCATGCGGTTAGTAAGAGTGCATTGCTTGAGTAGTGGGTGTGTGTACGGTACAGGCATTGCGAGCGAGACGCTGTTCACGTCTGCTACGGAGCTCCCGGTGTGTCCAGACACCCAGGCCTCCTTCATTTGCTTGTATGTCTTCGCCATGGTGCTAGAAAGAGCGTTGCGCGAGTTGGTCGTCTACTATACAGTGCAATGGTTGGTGCATCCTGACGCGTCTGGCTGGCCTTTTTGCAAACGGAACATGGCCCGAGCTTTGATGACCTCACACATCGCGACTTCCGCACCCCTTCTTCTACACACTGCACAACGTAATGTAGAGAATATAACCAAACCCCAGGGAGTAGCAGTCAAATCTGACACCGAAATCATGGAACGGTATATGATTTTCACCGGGGATGCCAGAAAGAGTAGGAGTGCACTGCACGTGGCCGGACTTCCTCTTTCACCATCACTGCTCCTCTATGAGTAGACGCGTCCGTGCGCAAAACTCCAGATCTGGCAGCTACAACAGAAACTTCAGGCGCCTGCCCACCGCATCGCGACCGCCTCGAACCGCCACGTGCCAGAACCTCTTTGCTGTGACCTCCTGACAGCTTGTCAAAGCTGTCAACACATGCTAACATGACGGGCGCTAACAAATCAAAGATACCCAGCATCCGACCCGCCTCGTTTGGCGTGAGAAGTCCGCTGCCTGAGAGGGCATTGTCGCCGGCAACGCGCGCGACGACGACGCCTACGGGCACTTCACGCCTCCCTCGTCGCCCTCAGAGCGAGAAACCGCTGCCGAGTCCGCCTGTCGCGCAGGTGGTAGACCCCAACTCGCCTCCTAAGGCTTCGCGCACCTTGGTGGACGCCTTTACGCCGAGCCCAACGCTGGAGAACTGGCCCATTCTCGCTCCAGAGAACATTCCTCCTCGCCTGAGTTCGAAGAGGAGCTCGCTCCCCACGCGAAGCGGAATCAACTCTGGCCGTCAAACGCCTTCCAATGGCAAGGAAGGCAACAGGGTAAAGCGACTCTCATGGCATTCGACGGCGTCGGGCTCAAGCTCAGGAACTGGACCCATCCTC